CAGCTAATTTCTTTCTATTTTTTTTTAGTAGAGACGGGGGTCTCACTCTTGCTCAGGCTGGTCTCGAACTCCTGAGCTCAAATGATCCTCCTGCCTTGGCCTCCTAGGGTGTTAGGATCACAGGCATGAGCCACCATGTCTGGCCAAAAGAATTATTCAAAAATTGAAAGGAGATAGTGTTAAAAGTTATTTCGTTGCCCTGCTCCTTTCTTACTGAAGGGCTTTTTGCTCCTTCTTAATTTATTGTGAGATAAATACGGTGCCAAGGGTGGCTGTTTCTAACCGGAGGTAACTGGTTTCTTGGGTCTGACGCCAAAAGTTAAATGGTGAAATCTTGCAAAGGTTTTTTTCCCTACATTTTGGTTTTTTTCTTTTTCATTGCCTTGTGACCTTGTCATGGCACGTTTTCAAGCTTCACTCTATACCTGTACAATATGGCTGATAACCAGCTCTGCCTCTTACCCGCGGTTGTTCCAAGGACTTTTAAGCTGTTTTGGTTGCATGAAAAGCCAGATGGACGAGCCAGTTTTTTTTTTTCCCTCTCTCCCTCTATTTCCCCTTTTTCAGTATTTGCTGAAGGTTCATTGCTCAGCTTTGTACCAAGCACTGTCTTAGGTGTTAGGCATAGCTTTGTACCAAGCACTGTCTTAGGTGTTAGGCATGTATATGAATGAATCAAACACATTTGCTACCACTGTTTTGGCAAAACTAAGTCCTTGGCCTTGTAGCTTTACTTTCTTGTGGTGACAGAAAAATAGAAAAAAATGTGTTAGGTGGTAGTGAGTATCATGGACAAAAAGTAGGGTAAAGGTCTGGAGGGTGCTATTTTCGATAAGGCGATTAACAACATGTAAAATTCATGAACCTTTATTATCTTCTAAGCAGTTGTTAATTGTGATTTATAGTTCTAGCCATGTAAATCTTGACAAACATAAAGATTTGCCTTTTATGTGACTAATAAAACAGTTTGGCAGTAACACAGTTCTTATCTCTTTACTCTGAAAATGGCAGAAAAACATGAGAGAAATCTGTCACTTATGATATTGAACAAATTGAGCATGATCAGTTTAATCTTACTTTAGATCTTTGCCCCATTTGATTAGCTAGCAAATAGGTTCTCTGTTTAGCTCCTTCAGTGATAGTTCTTTTCTTATAGAGAGTCTGTTATCAGCAAAGAGAAGGGATTTACAACACGGTACCTGAATAAACAAAATCTTGAAGCAATGACTCAAGATTCCTATTAATTGAAGCTTATTCTCTTTATATTGGAGGAAAAATTTCTGATTTCATATTTTCCTTTCTTAAATAAGGGGCTTGTATAGTTTCCACAGGTATCAAATATTTTGAAACAGGGGAGAGACCTGGTCAAGTCATTGAGAAGAAATGCTCTTGTGGTGGTGTTGGGTGGGGACAGGTTCCCTTGATTGGGAGACGGATTAGGAATTTATTGCATTTGTTCAAGCAAAAGGTGATGAAGGCTGCAATTAAGACAGTAGAAGGACAGGGGTGGGAGGGGGTTATGACATATATTGCTGAGGTAGAATTTATAAGATTTAATGACTGAATATAGCTAATAAGAATGAGAGAGGCACCATGAGTAATTGTTCTGAATGGGGTGGATAATTGTATCATTATTTGAGAGTTAGGACATGGATAAAAGAAGAGATACAAATGGGGGGAAGTAGATAAGCAAAACATAGTTTGAAGTGTTAATTTGTAAGTTCTCTGTTTCTAAGTTCTTAGAGCATAGGAGACAGAAAAGGAAAAGCTGGGCACAGTGGTATGCACCTGTAGTTCTGGCTACTCAGGAGGCTGCCTGGGAGTTCAAGGCCAGCTTGGGCAACATAGCAAGACTCTGCTGCTTAAAAAAAAAAAATTAATAAAAAGAAAAAGACATGATTCATGAATCCCAAAGCATGAATCCTCATACACCACGATTTTTATTACAGGCTGCTGACTGTTTCCTCATTCTCCACCTGCTGGCTAAATGGAAAGTACTGGGTTATAGTGGAAAAAAATCAGAGTCAAAAGACAGAAGAGAAAATATTGTTATTTACTTTTAGTTAAAATAAATGCTCTCACTCTGCCCCACTAGACTTTTCCATCAGGAGATGTGGTGTGAGTGAAAGAGAGTTGGAAAGAGAGTTTTTGAGACCTTTAACCTCTGCCCCACCTGATGGGGTCTCCCAACAAAGGGAAGGTACGTCTTCCTGAAAGTTTGGGGATGTTTCTGAATACAGGGCCTGCCTGACACCAGTTTCGCGTGTGGGGTTTCTAGGTGGCAGAAAACATAGCAGGTGGGATGGGGACAAGATCTTCCCCACCTTGGTCTTGTTTTCTCTCTGATTCCCTGAGGCCTAGATAAACCCAAGACTGTACTTGTGAGCATGCACCTGCTTCTTTACACCCTTCTAGATGCTACCCAGTAGTGAGAGTGACACGTATCATGTGAGATGCCCAGATGGGACCAACAGACCATGTACTATGTGACAGAGGCAGCGTCTGAGTCTGATTGGGTGAGACACCAAATGGTGCCAACCTAAAAAGTTAAATCCTGCCACCCACAGAAGGAAAATGAAGCCATGGCTGAGAAGGGGACTGTTGCCTCTGGATCCTGCTGAAGGCAGCACCTGCATGTCAGTGCACTCACCAGGAGGTAGAATAGAGGAATAGAGAGCAGGCCACACCCTTTGCCCCCTGTTTAATAGAAATGTTTCTAATCCAAGGGGACCCAGGATAGGAGAGAAAGGGAGACTGATAGTGATAAATCCTGAATATAACTGGCAAACTGTCATTCTGCTTGCCAGAATGAAATAAAATAGGCTGTCTGCTCTAAGCTGACTGTGATCTCAAAGGCAACATTTATGTCTGTTTAAAGAAAAATGTAGTTCAATTTTGCTCCTCACGTATGTGCAACCAAAAGCTGTTAAGTGTGTCAAAAGGCAAGGTCATTAATGGGGTGGTATCTGTGGAGGGATGGGCATTGGAGGAATCTCAAGAATAAGCTCATCCTTCCTGGTCAAGATACCAAGAAGAAATCAAGACTCAGAAATGATAATAGCTTTTCTTAAGAGAACAGCAAGGTAAATGGCAGATCTGGGTCCAGAACATGCATTCTCAATGGAAGTAAAAACTGGTTCTTGAGGGGTTAAAAAATCTCTCTCTTTGTATTAATATATATAATGCACAGATATGCATACAGTACTTGTGACAATATATTTGTGGCATTAAACTTTCATGGGGGA